GTTGTACATACTGTTCGGCACTATGTGTATATATATGTATGCATGAAAAGTCTTTTTGGCATACAGACTGTCACAGCTCATTGGACATTGTTTATTTACTGTATTGGCTTCTGCCAGGCCCTTGTACTCTGTTCTACTGTATTACTATTAAGCAGGCCTTCGGTAATCTCAGATTACTGGCCGGTTACGGTGCTAAACCCATAGGGGCGGGTTTGGGTCGTGACACTCACGCACTAAACACATTGAAATAAGGCACCACTTTCTACGAGATTATGTACTTAAATGTGACATTGAACTCGAATTTGTGCCTACAAGCCAACAACTAGTCGATATCTTTACCAAGCCTCTCAATGAAAAACAATTGTACCTTATACGAACTGAGCTTGGCATGTTAAATATTCCTATATGATGGTTCCTATATATTATTATACTTCCTTGTGAAATTTGTTGTGATTTGCAATTTTTTTTTTTTTTGCTCTTCGGGACCCCTAAGGGTCAACCCCCTACTCCATAGGGTCGACACCCTATGAATCAGCCCTGTGTTTTTCATTACCAAGGGTCGATAGCCGTCTTCCTTGGTGTCGACACCACTCAGTTTTTGGTTCACTGCCTTTTCAGGGTCAGCAGCTCTCTTCGAAGGTGTCGACACCTAATGTTTTTAAGGGCATTACTTTTTAGTGTCGATCCCCAGTTCCTAAAGGTCGACACATGTTCGCTGCCTAAGGGCTTGCCGCGCGATCCTTTCATATTCGAAGGGTCGACCCCTCTCTTTTCGAGGGTCGACACCCTCATAAAAATATATATATATATATATACTCCTCGACCCTTCCTATCTCTCTTGCGACACCATTAAATCCGTAGCTCTAACCCTCTTTTCCTATTCCGGCGATCCACATTCCGATCATCTTCCCTCCTCCTAGCGACCGCTCCTTTTTCTCGTCATGGAGTCTTAAGATCCTCCTTTCGTTCAAACAAGAAAATGTCTTCGTTTCTCCACCTCCTCAGCCACTGCTGCTACCTCTTCCTCTGTCCAACGCTTTAAGAACAATAAAGCTCGATCCTTCTTCAACAAGGATTTCAATCGACGAAAGGTAATTTCTGGCAAAACTATTGATCTTGTATTCTTTGACAAGCATTCCATTCCTATAAAAACTTGGTTTGACAACCAAAAATGGTCATCTTTGTTAAAACTTGACTGTGTCATTTACCCCACACTAATCAAGGAATTTTTTGCTAATCTCTCTTGTGATACCCAATCTGCTCCTCATGCCCTCAATTGTTTTGTCAAGGGTGTGTGCTTTACTTTAAATCCCACTATCATAAACTCCATTTTAAAAACTTCCAATGACGGAGAAAGGGTCACACTCACTGTTGCTACTCTTCACTTACCCAATTACTCTCATCTTATCGGTCTTCGATTCCTCACAAATAACCTCGAGTTACATGATCATGTCACCATCTCTGGGACAGACCTTTCCCTCGAACTAAGACTACTCCATCACATCATCACACATAACATCACTCCCCGTTCTGACCGTTTCGATGCTATCACTTACGGTCATACGTTTCTCATTTGGGCCCTAGCCACTAGTTACCTCATTGATTTTGGCTTTTTGGTAACTCACTATATTATTTAGGCTCACAAACAAACTAATCAGGCCCTTTCCTTTGGAATGATTTTCACAAAACTCTTCAAGCATTTCAACATGGACCTCAAGGGGGAAGAAAAAGTCCCTTGAGATCTTTCTTGGTATGGGGCTAAAACTCTGCGTAATATAGGATACTCTCTTATCAACCGAATCTAGACCAAAACCAAGAAACCTAGTCTCTCTTCCCCTGGTTTCTCTACCCCTGGTTCCTCCCTTCCCAGTTTCTCTAATCGTCACTTCTCCTCTCCTGATCTCTCTTCTCTACCATCTTCTTCTGATCTCTCCTCTCTATCTCTTAAAATCGACCATCTTGATTCCTTGGTTCAGGGTCCCCTCTTTGATGGGATTGCTTCAATCAACTCTAGGCTCAATAATCTAAACCTAGGGTCCACCTCACTCCCTGCCTCTAACATCTCATCCTCTTCTCACACTATCCCTGCCTCCTCATCCTCTGCCATAGAAGAAAAGATCGATGAATTGAGCGCCTTGGTTCTACAACTTGTCACTCAACAGACTGCCATGCAGAAAGACATTGACCGCATGAAGCTGCAACAAGAACAAGTCATTACCGGTGCTAACGAAAGTGTTAAAAGTATGGTAATAGCTGTCTACGGGATCAAAGCCTCCAACGAAGAATTTTGGAAAATTTTTCAGCAGCGCTGGAACGACGATTTGGGTGAGCAAATCCGCAAATTCATGCTGTGGTTTGCCCAAGGGTGGCACGAAGCTGCCCCACATTGGCCTCGCCCTCCTCCTCCCTTTCGCTGAAGCTGAGCACCTTTTTTTATTGATGACAAAGGGGGAGAAGAATATCTCAAATGTTATATCTCAAATGGTTAAAAAAAATTTGTGTCAATATTTTTGGTGCCATTCAGAATATATTGTTAAAGTTTTTTACCTTTCTTCATCTTTTTTGTTGTTGGTTGGTTATATATATATGTTGCACAGTTTGTATCTCTCTCAAGGATAGCAATTAGATGAAATAAATGGTTGTACATGTCTTGTTTACAAACTTCTTTTGGTAACACCAGTTGGAAAGATTATGTTTGGTGTTGTTTTGGATATTCTACAAAGCTATATGAATCTTGTTAACATGAAACATGTCGATAAGTAAGTAATAATTTATTATGTCTTTTATACACACGCTCGTGGAAGCTTATGGAACTTGTTTTTTTTTTTAAAGAGCTTGTGATTTCATTCAATGCTTATGATTTCATTCAATGCTTATGATTTCATTCAATAAACATAAACAAAAATTAATTTTACAATTGAATGGTTCAGTGCACACTGACAGGGGGAGCTTGTTCTATATCAAGTTATCTTATTACCTATATATATACATTTCTCACTGTCTTTGCTTTGGTCATGAAGCCCTATTTATAGGGGGAGTTTTTGATTCTTTTCAAAACCTTCATTCTCAAAAACTCATTTCATACCTTCCTTTTGAAACATATAGTTTGAAAACTTTAAATATTTGTCATCATCAAAAAAGGGGAGATTCTTAACCCCAAGGTTACTCAAACTTGAGTTTCTATTGATTTTGATTAGTGACGAATATTTTATTCTTCTGATTATTTGAAGTTTTCAAATTAATATATATGCTTCATGATTCTAATTGTTTTGGGACTCTAGAATATTATGTTTCAATAACTTTTGGGATATCAAAAATATAAGCATTAGCTCTTGGTTGCAAAACTCTATCTTTGTCTAACACAGGTCTAAGGGTCGACACCAGAAGAGAAAAGGTTGACACTAGAATAATCCTCAAGAGTGTTAAGTGTTCCAGAATAAAGGGTCGACACCAGGGAGAAGCTGGAAAAATAACTAAGTGTTCCAGATGCAAGGGTTGATACCAACAGCAACAAGGGTTACTTTCTTGTTTAACACAAAGTTTTCAAATCAAATTTCAAAGTTCATCATTATCAAATGAATTGATATACCAATGCAATGATTAATAATACAATGCAATATTTTTTTCACTTTCAATACTTCTACACAATATTCCCATTGTGATCAAAATTCTCATTTCTCAAGATGAATATAAATACTTTTATTTCAATTCATTCATGGGACAACATAATTCTCATACTTAGAGTAATCTCAACCATTTAGTCACTTCAAGACTATATCAACATTTTGTACAATAATTTCCAAAACTTCAACAATTCTCATATTCCATAAAAATCATCATTTATATGTAAACAAATAAATCATTTTTCAAAAATCATTTATTTTAGCACCCAAAATAAATATAACAACATCTTCAAAGATTGTCAACATCTTTCTTAAAAATTCCCAATTTCTAGGTTTTCTCACCAAAACCACTCATATTCATTTATTGAAAGAAAATCACCAAAAACATCTCTCTTCAATTTTCATAGTTCAAAACCCTCAATTTCTATCTTAAAAGGAACAAGAAAGTAAATCCACTTTTAAAAAAAATCTCTCATCTTCTTGAATCAACAATTAATTTTCAAAACAAATCAAAGGATGATTTCGAAAATCATCTAGATCTTGCAAAAACATATATATAACTCAAAGGAAATCCCTACTTATTAAATATTATCATTTTCATCCTACTATGTCAAAAGTTATCGTATAATCTTAATAATACACTTTTAACCATAACGGATATAACCTTTTAACCAAAACTAATTTAATCCACTAAATTAGTAAATTTATTTTATTCAAAAAATTTCAAATTAATAATACCAAACCTAATTTCAGATGCCTCATCCCTCAAATATAACTATATTTCCACATAACCAATTTTCATGCCAAGCTATTTAAAGAGGTAATATTTTACCAACACTACAACAAAAGTGAGTTTTTGCAGCTCCACATTAACGATATACAGTAAATGCAAGCCGTGGTTTCTCACTTTTACGACTTGCTTTTTTTGCATGTCGTAAATAATTTTTCAACCACGACGTGTCTATTGTGTAGGCCGTGAATGCTAATAATGATGATTTTTTTACGGCTTGCAATATTAGCCGTAAATAATAAAACTTTTTACGACGTGCATATGGCATGCCGTTAATACATTAACTATACACGACATGAGTACACCTACCGTTAAAAATATTGAACATTTTATGGCGCACAAAAAGTCAGCTATTAAAAATATTACACTTTTTACGGCGCACAAAAAGTCAGCCGTTAGAAAGTATACTTTCCACGACGCACATATGCTAACCGTTAAAAATGTTTTACTTTTCACGACACGCAATTTCTGTCATGAATAGTATGACCAAAATAAAAATGGGCGCCAAAATAAAAATTTGATCGCCAAACACCAAAAAAAATAAATAAATAAATAAAATAAAATCCTAACTCTTTAACCCCCAAATTAGAAACCCTAACCTCCTACTCATCATCATCAACAGATCTCCTCCACACTCGATCCAAATCAGAAACTCTTCACTTTCTCTCTCTCTTTCCCCTCAGCCTCCAACACCACTGCGACTGCAACTGCCGCGTTGTCCACCATCATCTACCGCTCTATCTCTCTCTCTCTTCTTAGCCTGTTGCTGCAGGACATCGACGACGATCTTCCCGCCCTGCTGCTTGCTATACACCAGATGGTAAAGTATACATGTCATAAATTCTCTCTCTCTCTCTCTCTCTCTCTCTCTCTCTCTCTCACATTGATTTTTCCCTAAATCCAATAATTAGGGTTTCCAGAATTCTCTTTCCCCTCTCTCTCTCTCTCTCTCTCTACATTCACATAACATATATATATATATATATATACAGATTATTCGTTAGTGTTGAAAGGTATGAGCTTTGAAGATATTGAAGCGGGTTGTCCGTTGAATTCAAGGCAAGACCCTTTCAATAGCAATCAGGACCCGACTCAAGCCGTTGCTTCGGGGATTTTTCAAAACACCACTGTCTCCACGTTTCAGAGGCTCGTCAATACCTTTGGAACCCTTAAGGACACCCCACAGCTCCGTGAGAAATTGTGAGTGCCATCTCTATACTTTCATGATCTTCGATTTTGAATTTTTTGAATTGTGATTTTATCTTGGTGAAATGTTTTTTTTTTTTGAGGGGGGGTGCGATTAAGCAATTGGGTCAAGTTGGTTTTGTTAGAAATATGGATTAAGAGTTTTGAATAAGGATTTATGGTTGTTTTGGGAATTGACTCTCTTAGTAGTTTTTGGGTATTTACGAAAAGCTCTTCTTTTTTTTTTTGTGGCTAAAATTGTAACTTCCCAAAATAGCCTTAATAGATGATGAGTTTGACTTAGTGGGTTGTAGAGAAATTTTGGTTATGATGATTAGAAGACTGAACCGGAAGGGGACGATGATAAGCAAATTGGATTGAGTAGTAAAAAAAATTGATCTCAATAAGTAATCTGGTTTGGACAAGTTATGGTATTGATGCAACAATAGATCCTCGCCATTCGGGCTCAATTCTTGTATGGAATATGCCTAGTATATTGAATTTAGCTTATGTCAATATACTGTGTGTTAGGTTTTTATTCTTGGCAATCCCGTTTGACAAAACTCCTTTCAGTTGTACTTATTTTTGCACTTTTTATTTCAGTAAGGCTATGAGTTTTTAGATGCGAATCCAACCCGAATTGTGCCTTGCAGAGAAGTTTGTGATGTTAATGCTTTCAAGATTGCCACTTCGTTGATTATGACGGGGATCGAGCTACCCGGTCAGCTCGCGGGAGTCGAGGGGGCAGCGCCCCTTGGCGGGTTCAGGGCAGTGCCACGGCGAGGTCGAGGGGCAGCGCCCCCAAAGCAAAATGCAAAATTGCATTCAAAGTTGCTTGTCCGCCCTTGCTCGCTCAAGCGAAGGAGTTCTCGCTCGAGCGAAGGTTGCGTCCGTATAAAACCTGAAAGAGATGATTTCACGCTCGAGTGCAGGTTGTTTGGCTCGAGCGAAGCCACTTATGGAAAACATGCATTTTTGGTTCCTCGCTCGAGCGAGAGAGTCGTCGCTCAAGTGAGCTTCGCAGTCCCAGATTTCTATAAGTCCGGGTTTCTATCAGATTTTAGGATTACTCCTCCAGATCTTCTTTTTGGATATTAAGGTTTATCTCTGGAGATATTTTGCTAGTTTTCTTTGATGTTTTGATTGAGTATTCAACTCATGGTTTTAGAAGTTTGCATCAAAGGATTATTTGTTTAATTCTATACAAAAAAGAGAGTTGTTCTTTGGTGGATTTTGAAGAATACGAGCCTGAAGCTTTGGTAGATTCTGGAGTGGCTCATCGTCAAGACAATTCTGAGGTGAAGACGGGGTTGGAAGAGACACATAGGGGTTGGTTCAATTCGGGTGTGGATTCGCTAGGTAATTGAGAGTATACCTGTGTAATTCCTTTATATCTTCTTAGTGGATTGTTTTGTGGCTGTTGCCCGTGGTTTTTTTATCATAACTGGAGGTGTCCAATTGTGGTTTTTCCACGTAAAATCGCTGTGTTGATTTGTCTTGATTGTTTGATTGGGATTGTTGTTTACTGCTTAAAATTGATACATAATCACAAATCAACATCTAGGGGATTTCTAGAATTTTCACTGTGAAGATTTAAATTTATGCAAAATGATTTCCAAGGTCCCCTTACAAGCTAAAACATAAGAAGGAATCCCATCTAAAGCTCCAAATTGGCAATAAGGAGATGATGTGAGAGTTATATATTCTTTGTTTTGATACTCTACCCATTCCTATCTTTGACTAACTTATCATGCCCAAGTGGACGATCAGGAATGCAGAGTAGTACTTCTCTAACTAGTTTCTTTGATTTGAACTGTATTTGTAAATTTTGTATCAAATTTGCGTTGTATTTATATTGATTTGTTATTACTCGTATGTTAAGAGAAAATAGTTGATGAGACATAGAAAATGTAATTTGACAGATGCTAATTGTTCCCATAATTTGAGGATGTTTGGTGGTCAAAGAGGTTGTAGAAAAGCTATTTTACATATAAATAATAATAAATTTTGATGGTCTGTTGATCAACAACAAGAGATGGCCAAACAAAGGTTGTAAGAGAAGGGGACAATGGTGTAGCATATTCATGGAATATGGAGTAGCAGTGGGATAAGGTATTTCCTTCATTTTATTATCTTTTCAGTCCTTTGTCTCATGGTTAATTTTTGTACACCTTCTCCACCAATTGTTTAAATATTTTTGTACATTGTTGTATTATTTTTTTTAATATTTGGGCTTTGAAATAATCTTTTGCTGCTCTATAAAGGTCATATGCAGTGTTTTGGTGGGACATTTTTTACACCCGGTTTAGATGAAAATGACCAGATTGTGATGTGATCAATGAGGTGTTAATATATTGTAATGGATGGGTATTAAGGCTGAAGTCATTGTTTTTAAACTTGCCTGATTTATTATTGTTTTTTTTAATCTCCTTATGCAGTATTTCTGATCTTTTTTTCCGTCTTGGGTTTGTGGTATTATACTTATTTGACCATGTAATTAGCAGGAAAATTTGAGCCTGCTGATGCATTATGTGCAATATAATGAGTGGCTTCTAGTATTGCCATTGGTCCTTCTCCATTGAATGGCTAATTTTTGATCCATCGCCTTTGATTTGTGTGTGTAATGAGGATGATGTGCCATGTTTGGCAATATTAGTAACAAGTTGTTCATGCCCAGGGTTGTAAAATGAATCAACCTAGCTTTCATTTGGCTTGGTGTAGACGAGGATCATATCGTTGATGATTGTAGTGGTATAACATGCTAGGTGCTGGAGGAGTTCTAGGAAACGAACTAGTGAGGGGTGATAACAATGATTAAGAAATTTGGATAGGAATTGAAAGAAAAATAGTTCATTTGAAATGAAATGGAATATTTTAAATTAAATGTCAACTTAATCATTTTGTGAAGAATGAGTTGATTATTCTGTATGAACCAATGCTTGTATTACCTTTGTTGTTACATTGTCCGACTTAGGTTCCTTATCATAAATGTTATATATTGCAGAATAAGGCTCAACAGCTTCACAAGCCTTCTACAGAAGAAGGGCCAACGTCTATCAAAGATGATGCAATTGTTCATGTGTTTGGTCCAAAACGGCATGGTAGGGTAAGAGGGCTTGGATTTGTGCTTGAAGATGCTATTGGAAGCACTATTGCTTGGTCAACCCATTTCATTAGTTTTGACTTTGAATAGAACTAACATCTATAGATAGTTTTTGAGGACTTTGATAAATAGATTTCTATAATTTTTGAATAGTTTTGGGTATTGTCTACAAACTTATATATGTACAGTTTGGATGGTTTATAACTTTTTGGATAATTTAGAACTTAAGGATAGTCCTTTTGGATGTTTGGAATGTATATATTGACAATTTTTGAATCTTTATAATTTATAGATATAGTTTATTTTTCATGGTTGAAATAATATTTTGGCGGTTGATTAATATTTTCTGAAGCTTATTTGTAATATTAGATCGTACAAAATAGGTCAAATATAGAATCTGCTGAATTAACAACAACAAAAAAAATGCACATTCTACGGCAAGCAAATTAGGTCATTATATGAAATACTCCACAGCATTTCACATACGCCGTGATATGTTCTACTTATCTACGGCAGGCTAAGTAAGTCGTTGTATTATATATTTTACGGTGCGCAATCAGCGTTGTTGTTTGTCTTACCAATTAACGGCGTACAAAAGTAGTCGTAGAAAGAGTAACAACAACGCATAAAATCTGACATTAAATAGTTTTTAACGGCGTACTATAGCATGTCGTAGAAGAAGTAACGACGACGCACAAAATCTGTCGTTAAATAGTTTTTAACGGCGTACGAAGTATGTCGTTGAAAGTGAATTGACTTTCCATGGCTGGTTATAATATGACGTGCGCCTGCACGTCGTAAAACGGTTTTTACGGCGTGTATTGCGCGCCGTAAAAACCCTTTTTTGTTGTAGTGCAAATTCTCTACCAATAACAATTACATAATTTTTTCTAAAATTACTTAACCAACATGATATTTACATCAAAATTTATGAAATATACCCAATAGTAACATTTTCAAGGTTATGAGTTTGAAAGTCCATATTTCACATTTTTTTTCTCCATAAAAATGAACACAACTTAATCATCAACATATCATCTTTTATAAAATATCATGAATATAACACTTTTAGAGTTTTTAATCCCAAAACAACTCTATAATTCCTACTTAAACATTTACTCTATATTTCTCAATATTAATTTATTTTTCTTCTCAAAAATAAATTCCAAATCAAAGATTAAAAAAAAATCGACTTTATATTTCTCAAAATAAATCATCTAATCATAATATGATGTAGAGACAATCCATACAACTATTAAATTTTATTTTCGAATTTCTTTGCAAAATTATCAATACAAAATGATTTTTCCAAATCAATCTTAAAATGCCTACATTCTTAACATTTCAACATAATTTTTCTTCCAAAAATTATCAAACAAAAATCTGAAAATATATATGCAATACCTCTTATAATGATATATTTTCTCAAAATAACCCTAACATAACTTTAATGTAAAAATATGAAGAGAGTCCCTACCTCAAATAATGAAGAAAAGTAGATCTGGAAGACAAATTTTATCCAATTATGAATTCGAGACTACCATTGTGAAGATCACGACGAGCTCTCCGACTTTTATGTACAACACTTTAACAAAATCTCTCTCTAAGGACTCTCATTTGAAATTCAAATGCAAAGCCAACAATAGTGACAGAGACAGAGAGACAGAGCTCTCTGCTCAAAAAAAAATAAATAAATAAAGGAAAAGAAAGTGGAAATGAAAGGAAAAGAAATGAAGAGTTTGATGGGGGAAAAGGGAAGGGAGGAGGTGGGGGACAATCCCACATGGCTGGCCACACAATCCAATATCAAAAATTAATATATAATACATTATAAAATATCTAAAAATTTTATAATATAAATTATAAAATAATATAATTTTTCTCATCACAAAATATAATATTTTGTTCACTATTAAAAATATACCCAATTTCATTCTTTATAAAATATATAATTTTTCACCATATAGTACACACTATAAAATCAATTATCAAATATTTATTATAATCCTATATAATAAATAATAACAACTCTTAAGGTGGTTACTACCAATCACCTAATTAAAAATGACCAAACAGTTAAACATAAGTCATTAAACAAAATTAAATTAAATCTAAATCATGGGTCTCACCCATAAGTCAAACATGCTCCAATTATATACCAAAATAGTCCCAACAAATTTATCTCAATTCCTGGTCCGAACAGCCAAAACTCAATTTCAAATTCTGCTATAAATTAAACTGAACACCAATCAGTCCGTAAATTTTCATAAAATAAATATTCATCATTTAATTCTGAAATTTTTATCCAATGTGCTAGACTCATATGGGAACAACATATAAAAATTTCATAATTTTTTGAGATCGGGAATATTTTTAAAAAATACAAAACCGAACTATTTTCGCACAGAATTTACACAGCAATTAAATTCGAAAATTTGCTCAATTAAATTATGCACTGGCTATTTTTAAAAATAAAAAAAAAAATTGGGTCATTACAATTTCTAGCACCCAAAAAAAAAAAACTGAAGTCTATTCTAAACTGTGAAAAACTTGTTTTTGGTTTGGTTTTGTTATATTTTTTATTTTTTGAACTCCTCTCTCAAATTGAAACAGGAAATGACAATATGAATGTGTGAAAACTTATAGTTGGCATATTCAACACATACACAAATGGCATATAAGTTTGGGCTTGTTCGAATGTAAAATTATAAGGTAAATTTCCCCATAATGATATGTCAATGGGTTTTTTTTTTTTTCCTCCTTAAAACTGAAAATGATCTTGAATGGTGTTTTGTTTTAAAGTTAAGGTTTTATATAAAAACCTTGTATAATCACTCTTTCAAAATTATCTATTGATATAAGTTCGAAATAATCTGGTTGTTACAAGTGAGACAAACTATGCCTAGTATAGAGTTAATACAAATGGTATTATTCTTGTAGGAACCCTTGCATTTAGGATAGAGTTAATACTTAATAATAACTATGCCTTTTTTATGATGAAACTGGTCAATGAGAGGGCACCCCTGAAGGTGAAGTGGCATTGGAAAATAGGCTGGAGAAGAACTTCTCTGCAAGAATTGCATTGGCAGCATCGGATGGATGGAATGCATCCCAAAACACATACTCCGTCCGATTGCTGCATACCTTTGAGTTAGGCAAGCATAGCCCTCCAATACTTGTGTCTACATGGCAACAAGAGGTGTTGGACACCTTAAATCCTGCTCCCAAAAAAAGAAAAAAAAATTAAATAAAAAATTTAAATCTATGAACAAACAAAAAATTTACTTGCCCAGAAGAATTTTACAGAAATAATCATAGAAGAGAGACAAAGGGACCCTTGCCTCTCGTACGTGACTGCTTTTGTGAAATAGAATAGCTCTGAAAAGTATATACTTTGTGACAGACAAGTTCATTTACCATAGGAGTTGGGGTTGGTAATCAAATCCAGTACTGATTGGTAAGTATCTGCAAATGTAATTTGTGCAGAAGGAAGGTGCTTATTTAGTGAGGCTGTTAGGTTTTGTACTTTGGAGTTGAATTGTAGAATCCATTCATTTACTTGCTTTAAGCACTGCCCTCTCCTTGATTTCACCCTTTGTGAAGGAATGCAGCCTAAGGGGCCGAGCCCATGGAACACCATCTTTCTTGCACCCAGTTGGTGGAGTCTCTGATATGACAACAAATCACACATACAATGTTAAAATCATAAGATTTTAACAACAATTCTTTAATACCCAATTATTCTATTGTCATGAGGTTATTTATTATTTGAAGAAAAAAGAAAGAAAGAAAAACATTGTAAAGAATGACAGAAAGTAATCATTACACAAATGCCTAGATGGTTCAGTGGTATCTGGTTAGCACTACTACTACCTTAGTTGGGGTTTTGAGTATGATTTTTCTTAAGGGTGGATGACTCCTTGTTATATGCTTCTGGTTATGTTGAGGTTGTTAGCACAGTTTTCCTTTAGGGTGGATAACTTTTTGATATATGTTACTGGTTACAATGAGATTTTGAATACAACTTTAATTACATAGATGTTCAATTTGACGTAATTTTCATATGTATATATATATATATATTGTAAATTATCACTTAGTGATTGACAAAATATAATAATAATAATCACCGCAAATTGTTGCTCCAAGGTTAGAATTAAGAGTCCCACAAACTCGTCATGGGTATATTGCTGACCGTCTGGTAGAAAGGGTTGCAAAAAATTGTTGACATAGTCATTGCTACCTGCGAAAAAAACAAGTACATTAGAGACCTTAGGAAAGAGAAGATCCAAATAATACTGGCATTTTAGGTGTACTTGTTTTTGTTTTTCTTTATTATTTATTTTTTTTTTGGAGAGGAAAATTCTTTTTGCTTGGCTTAAAAGAAGCAATAAAAGTATTTTTGAAAGAGAAACTTCATTTATTTCAGTCAGGGATTAAAAAGGTACCAATTCCAATGAAGTACATGGCTTCATTACAGAGCTTTTCTGCCTTCTCTTCTCCAATTTTTGCCTTGATTGCTTGCTTTGTCTTTTCAAAATTTTTTATTTGATCATCGAAGGATAACCTCTGAATCTAAAATGCAGAATTGACACACACAAAAAACAAAAAAGGTTGAAAAATAGTAGTCATTGTAAGTGACTTCATCTATTGATTTTTTCCTTCTAAGAAAAAAAATAGAAGAAATGGATATTTTGTATTGATTTTTTCCGTCTAAAAAAAAAATTAGAAGAAATGGAGATTACAAAATAAAGCCCAGTGTCATTGAGAATCCCTGCTCCACCGGATGCATAATTAACCCCTTTAAGCAATGCATCGTCATTTGGGGACAAGGAAAGATAAGCTGGTGGTGATGGAATCCCAAGCCTTGCGGCTGCAAAATTTTACAAAACAATTATCACAATTAATTAATTCATGATAATAAAATTGTGCGGTGTAAAATAACCATTAGAGATGAGGATGACAAAGATACAAACATATGATATCACCGATAGTCCTTCCATTAGTGAACCTTCCTGTAGGCCGGCCACCGGGATAGTCAATTCCATAATAGGGAAAGTTGGATTTCGCAAGAGAGTATTGGAGGAAATTGTTGTTGCCTACTTCTGTCAAGGAGTCGCCGAAGATGTAGGTGACTAGTGACGCCGATGAAGCCATAGTGACCATGTTTGTGATGATCAAGGTCACTCCAAGTACTACTAGTCCTAGCATTGCCATATTTACTCTTTAGTTGTTTGAAGGAGTGACAATCAGTGATTAACAATTTATAGCATATTAGGTGTTTTTTTGGGTGGATCATATTAGGTGTTTGTATAGAGACTACATTGCACTTTTAAGTCATGCCCATTTCTCTAAGTTGGCACATAGTAGGTGATTAGTTTCAATATCAATGAAGATCTTAGTGGTTTAAGTCTCAAAGAGTCAGACCTTGCTAGCAACTTCAATTTTTGTTTTTAAAGTTTGGTAATCTCTTCCTACAACGGTTGGCCAACTCATCTCATAAGAGTCAGCAAAGTTAGTGTAGTTAGGTTTTTGTCCTTTGGATGGCAATGTCATATGGTTAATGGACTTGGGCTTGCCACTTAGAACTAAATCAACACCATAGGTCCAAACAAATCAGTTTACTAGGGTTCTATTGTTTAACACCAATTAAAATTTGCAACTACTGTTGGTTTTGCTTTGCCATTGGCTTGAACATTTAATCATTGGAAAGAGGTATATATATATATAAATTTATGACAAAATAAATAATATAAATGTTTTATAAATGGGCGGGATGAACTAAGCTGGGCTAGGCTAGAAATTTTCGTCCCAAAAAAATAAATGGATTTAAAATCTTAACTCAATCTACTTTTACAAACCAAAAAAATTATTATAAACCTTAAAAATATTATCAATCAAAAAAGTAAAAAATGAAAACGCTAAGAATATTGGGTTGAGTGGTGCACAAAGTTGGTGACCATCCGCGTTTAAATCACGCATCAGGGAAGACTCCTCTCGCATGCTATACATTTAAGGGTATAAGAAGAATGTAAGAGTGCATATAAAATAAGACTCAGATTGCAATGATACTAAATTAGATAATGCATAGCCACACAGATATATCTTGTTAAAGTTCAATAAGGAAGCAAGTTTTAGTGTTGTGTTCTCTTAGGAATAGTATTAATGTATTCATCAGGGAATATACCCCCTTATACGAGTTTTTTTTTCTTTTTCTTTTTTTCTTTTTTGCGAATATTCCAAGAAATTAAATTATTTATGAAAATTACCAATTTCTCAAACTATTTATTAAGCTAATTAAAATTTTAAAATCATAAGTTTAAAATTCGATATCATGACATGACTCATGTTTATAACACCAATGAGTCATGTTAATATAAAAACCACGAGCAATGATAGAGGGCCACAAAAAGTGTGGTTCAAATGGCTCAAAACTGTCTAAACAACGTCGTTTTGGGCGTAAAACGAAGCAAAACGACGTCGTTTTGGCAGTTTTGATTTATTTGAGTCGCACTTTTTGTGGCCCTCAAACATTTTTCAAAAGCCACATTACGATTTCATGATAAAATCGCATTTTGTACTTGCGTTTTAAAAAAATCAATTAGTTTGCTAAAAAATAATTTTGAAAGCAATTTTGAAATATTTATAATAATAAAATAAAATAAAAAACTCCATCTTAGAGCATCTCCAACGGTGCATCAATTTTTTCATTAAATTTGAGTAAAAGTTTCATTTGATATCAAGTGCTCAAACGGAGGGTTTTGGAGTTTCATCAAACCATCCGGCAACGATAATGAACAGTGATTTGATAAAAGATACATTAGTCCTCAGTTTGATAAAAAAAAAAAAAAAGTAAAATTCTCAATTTGATAACTATTTAATAAAACCGTTGGAACAGGAAAAAAAGTCATTTTTTATCAAATTTAAATTTAATGAAAGATTTTGAGTAATCATCGGAGATATTCTTATACCTGTATATGTGATGATGCACTGGAACAAACATTAGGGACTTTGTTTATGGGCTATTGCAGACTAGTACCTTTTCCTAGTAGTTTCATGTGTTTTATTGCTTTTGTTAATATTATATACTACCGTTGGGGCATTGTTATTATTGTAATGATTTATTTTGCTTTTGGCTTGCACGATGTTTGTATTGTTTTGTTTATCGAGGAGAGGTTGCGACACATTTGTGACAACAGAAATACAACAATTAATGAAAGTGACTTTATATATATATAATGACCGTAATATCACAAATTTATAATTATCTATTCAGAATTTATATAAAAACAATAATTAATGATTTAAATTTATTTTACTTCATCAATTTAATTTTCACCACACATTTTCATTTTGGATAAAATTTAAATCCCTAACCTGGATCCCAAAATTTTCCCAATAATAATATAGGAGCATTGGTTGGCCACATTTCTTTGTGAACACTGAGGGGGTAATTTCTGTGGAAATTGAGCCGAGCTGAGTAATGGGTCATTCTGTGGACCACGGTAAGAAGGGCTGAGTAAAAAGGGCCTTGTAATTAGTCCGGTCCAAAAGAGCCATGGTGGTTAGCTTGGTCACCATGGTCGGCACGATGACAGTTAGCTCGGTCATACTATATTGGGCTGAAGTATGTTGAGCTTTCCTCAGAACCTTACTGTTGGTTAGCTCGATCCAAGCTCGATGTGATCAGTCCGGTCTCGAACAACACAGTTGGAATGTCAAACCAAGGTACACACAGTGAAAGGAAGAACCGAGCCAGTGGGAGCTCGGTCTAGTCTGCGGCTTTAGCATGGCCATGTTATCTCGGTCGTATTAACATCCAACCGTGGTAGAACCATCTCACTTGGTTTAAGCAGTGAGGGGGGTGTTGAAGGATAAGTATGATCTTTCAGAAAGGTGATTCCTAGGAGGACTCTACGTGGAGTAGTAAGAGTCCCACTTGGATTGTGCCACGCGGAACCTATAAAAGCTCATAACATCACCTATGGAGAGGTAACACAACTTTGATTCTCGAATACATATAGCTCTTGTCTATTTGTCTATTTTGCTGACTTAGGCATCGGAGAGGTATCCGGCACACACCCGCCGGCTAGCTTACGTTTTTGTTTTCAGGAGTAAAGCGACGACGTTTGGAGGAGTGCGAACTTGATCAACAGGATTATACGAGAAGGTTATTTCTTGCTCGTACAATTGGCGTCGTCTGTGGGAATCACAGAAAGAACAAACTTCTTGATCAAAGTTTTCCTCGTCAGATTAGACGCAATGGCGCACAATGAAGATTTGCCACAGTCCGCCATTGACGGACAAACCCCAGAAGGAGGTGGGAGGCGCGAAGGTTTGCCTTCCATCCCTCCCATGGCAGATTTAGAGCCCCAGCGACAGAACCCCCGGAGGGATGCAAGGGGGAGACGGGGTAACAGCCCCCGTCACTCATCAAGTCCTGATAGGCAGAGGCGGAGGACCGACCCTCAAGTTTTGGAGGATTGGGTAAAGGAGCAGGACGAGCTAATCAGGAAGATGGCAACGGACATGGAATTCATGAAGCGCCAGATAAAAGGGAAAGGGGTGGCGACAGAAGAGGAGCGCAAAAACGATACACCTCCTCGCCACTCAGAAGACCGTGGCAGGCATACCATGCCATCGCAAACAGATAGTAGGAGCCTCAGAACAGGTGACACTCAATCAAGAACTTCCAAGACTCGTTACTCTAGGTCTGAGAGAACGAGAACATTAAGGTCCTACACTGAGGGAAGCACCTATCGGCCCTCACATACGCACTAGACGGCATCCAGGCAAACGGAGTTGCCTAGATCGTCTGACTTACGAATTGTGCTTGAAGAAAGGGCACGATTGAAGGAGGATGCCAAGGCACGCGACCCACACAGAGTTTCAGCCCTTCAGCGGTTGGCTCCTCAGACGCATGGAAGCGTCGAGGTTGGAATGCCAATACCGCACCTTCCCTACGAACCAACAGATAAAGCATTGGCAAGGTTACATAGCTCGCCGTTCGTTTCGGCGATTGAGAATGCACCCTTACCTTCAGGCTTCATCCAGCCTAAATTTACGACTTACGAGGGGAAGACAGACCCTTACATGCACCTAAGCCACTTTCCCCAGGTCATGGCAGTGTACCGGCGGAACAAGGCTTTGATGTGCATCCTATTCCCATCTAGCCTTGGCGACCTAGGTTTAACCTGGTTCGAAAGGCTACCAGAAGGTAGCATAGCCTCCTGGGCACAATTAGTGGAGGCGTTCGTGACAAGGTTCAGAACGAACACCAAGACGCCAATTGAGATCGATCTGCTACTCTCCATCGACATGGGCGACAAGGAGGTGTGGAGATCTTACAACAGTCGTTATTGGGAGACCTTCAACCAGATAGGAGATTTCCCCACAAATCTCGCCATCGCGCAGTATAAAAGAGGTCTTCTAGTCGGAAACAAGCTGAGGGACTCAATTACCATGACGCCCCCCCTCACAATGGAAGCCTTAATAGAGAGGGTACACTAGCATATTCGGGTGGAGGAGGATAGCGCCCGTGCTAAAACAAAGTCTGGTACAACCGCAATACCAGATAAAAAGACTTCGATAAAAGTCAACGCGGTAGAACGTCCAAGCAAGAACGGACGAGGCAGGCGAGACAACGGAGAAGACCAAGATAAAAGATGGTTGAGAGTACGCACTGCCATTACCACGGTATTCAAGAAACCAATCTACCGAATTCTCAGCGAGATACGCGATGAACCTTTCGTCAAATGGCCAGCTAAATTGGGAGAGGCACAGAAGGACTACGACGAAAGATCTCGGTGCACCTTCCATAAGGAAAAAGGGCACCACACTGAAAATTGCACGCCATTGAGACAGCATCTGGAGGAATTAGTAGCGGCTGGTCACCTGGACCGGTTCATAGAAGGAGGGACGCAGCTAACCCCCTAAAACCACGATCATCCAGACGAAACACCAATTGACGCCCCACCTCAAGGCGTGATCAACGTAATACATGGGGTATTCGAGCCTGAACGAGTATGTGAGCTCAGGGGAATGATAAAAAAGGCTGAGCACTTAAGGAAGGTATTAAGTGCGCAGCCCACCATTAAAAAAGGAAAAACAGAGGCCACGAATGTCATGACTTTTTCAGACAGAGACTTGGCAAGGATATCTTGCCCTTACAATGATGCACTGGTCGTCACTCTCCGCGTCAAGGATTACGACGTCAAGCGAATTTTGATCGACCAAGGGAGCTCATGCGAGATAATGTACTACGAAACTTTCAAA